TAAGACTTTGACAAAATATACATATATGTAATATAATATAATTTCGAATAAATTTACGAGAAATCTCTCTCTTTCTTTCTTTCCATGTCGCATTAATCAATATATCTGATTTTTAATGTAATTTTTTCGAATTGTTATACAGCGATAATGTATATCTAGAAATAGTTTTTATCGATGATTCTACTAAATTCACAATGTGATCTATCAATCTTTCTTGATTTTCTTACTTTCTTACGTTCTATTTTTATTGTGATTTTTTGTAGATGTATGTTTACTAAACATGATTTATTTATATATATATTATATAATTATTTATTTATTTATGTATATTACATAATTATTTATTTATTTATATATATTATATAATTATTTATTTATTTCTATATATCATATATATATTACTTATATATAAAATATGTCAACATTTAAATATTTAAATTATTTGTAGTATAATGAAAAGGTATATTCGCAGTGTTTCATTTAATGTATATTTTTTTCAAGGATTTTCTTTATGCAAGTTAATTATTTCAGTGCACAATTCTCTCTGCTTTTCAAAAATTCTACAACCGATTGTTTAGCAACGCCAGTAGAAATGTATAGTAATTGCACATCATGGTATAAATGCGCTTAGTGAATATTAATCGGATTTAGTTTAGTACCCAGTACGCAGCTTTGTGGTGTACAGTAATATTTACATTTCAACGGAATGTTCATATATAAAATGCACGTAAACATATGTAATGCAATATAAAGAAATACATAAAATAATAGGAATAAACATATATAATTTTTTTTAGTATTATATATATTATATATTATATATATATATATATATATATATATAATTTATATATGTGCAGCTAGATGCTGCTTATTCTTTTGGACGTTCTGAGGATGAGTTTCTTCTAAATAAAGCAACAAAGAATATTTTTAAATTGCACAGGGACTTTTCTATAACAAAGTCCCACTTCGTTCATTAGTCGAGATAGAAAATCGGATTTGATTTGACCCAATGCGATTACCATGCGAAAGCCTCTTCCACTACCACGCAGAAATAGTGTATATGCTCTATTCTCACGAGAGATCACGCCGTCTCAATTTTTCCGCTCGTTTTCGAAGAATCGCGTTTCCTCCCGACGAGGAAAAGAAGGATCCGATGGTAGCTCTTCCTCCGCTCACGATGAAGTAGCCATTAGTGTTAATTATATTCTGTCGAAATCTTCCTTGCTTTACGTACGAAACCGCAGAGGGATGAAAAATCCGAGGTCCGTTTCCTTATCCGGATCTCGCAGAATAATGAAACTCCGCTGAAACTCGATTTCTTTCGTTATTACATCTGTCCGTCTTTCAACTGGACTTACTTTTTATTTTTTCTTTTTTTAAGATTTAATGGCGGCTTTCGAATTTCTTCGAACTAACGAGGGAAATTCTGATTTTAATTTTAAAATTTTGTACACATGTGAGAGAATAAATTGATTTAGAAATTTTTATCGCTCGGCAAAAAAAATTCCAAGTGGTGAAATCATCCCTCTTTTCTCGATATATCTTGAAAAATATTTGAGACATTAAAAAGTATTTAGTACAAAAGTTTCATGGTAAAAAATACCTCTGTTTAATTACATTAATATTTTGGAAAATTAAAAAAAATTGTTTTCGAAAAGTATTCGAGATCTCGAATAATTATTTCAAAACAATTTTTTAATTACTTTTTAGAATATTATTCAAGAACCAAAAAAAGTAAAAAGTCCTTCAACATATAAAAGGTAGTTTTATCCTTAGAATTATTTCAGAGCCGCAAATAAAAATTTCTAAATTCATCTCTCTTACGTGTGTGTTAAATTTGATCAAAATCGGAATTTTTGAGTTTGTGACGTTTCCTTGCAAGCAATTAAATTTCACTAAAATAAATTAAAAATTTAAAAACTCGACTTAAGTGTGTCTATTTTGGATTCTTAGATATCAGTATTTTACGATATTTTAATTAGAGAAAAAGGGAGGGAAAGGGATTAAAAATTTCTCGACTTGTTAAATCCAATTTCATCGAAAGCCATGCAAATTGTCAATTTAATGATCCAGTTGATCCAAGATATCTCCTCTATATTCGGTTCGTTATAATATCGCGATAATAGTTACAACATTCGACCACTCGGCGATCATTTCCGTATGTAGAATTACAACTGCAGTAGTGCGGTCAGTTTGGCCCACACACGAATATGTAGACGCACGCACACACGCGCGCGTGCACGCATACAAATGCGTGCACGCATACAAATCATTAAACTGCATCCGACAACGTCGAATTACGCGTTTAGTACCTTCAACGATATCATTTCCTGTTTACGTGCGAGAGATAATCGCGTTTCCACTCCAATAAACGTCACGCAAAGCTCAACGTCACTAACCTAGTTGGACAAATGTCGGTGAAGGAAAATGTTAATCAACTGTCTACCCTTTCGCGCGATATATTTTCCACGATTTATTTTAATTAAATAGAAAAATGCAGAAAAAGTCACGCGTATGGCAATAACAGAAAATAATTTCTATATTTTTTTTAATATAAAAATTATACCAGATAATGAGGCTCTAGAGACTAAAACCCAATAAGGGAAAAAGGCAGATAGGAGCCAGGAACCCTTTTGCGCGATATATTTTTTAAATAAAATAGAAAAATGCAGAAAGAGCCACGCATATGGCAATGACAAAAAATAATTCCTATATTTTTTTTATATAAAAATTATACCAGATAATGAGGCTCTAGAGATTAAAACCTAATAAGGAAAGAAAGGCAGACAGGAGCCAACAAAAATTGTTATTGCAATAAGGAATTATTATTAATTAATTTTTTTTAATTAACTATTATCAGAGCCGATCCAATCAGAGTTGGCAATGACAAAAAATAATTTTCATATTTTTTTAAATATAAAAATTATACCAGATAATGAGGCTCTAGAGACTAAAACACAACAAGGCAGACAGGAGCCAACAAAAATTGTTATTATAATAAGGAATTGTTATTAATTAATTTTTTGAATTAACTATTTTTCGAGTCGATTCGATCAGAGTTGTTCCACTTGACATTTTTTCTCAATCGGGAACAATGCAATCGGAGGATGAATCACTTAGAAAATAAAATCCGTCGGGGCATTGATCAGACGGGATAGAACAATGTACGCTAACGGTATTTCGCAAAAACTTCCAACGCATTCACTAGTTTTGCGGGAAACAAACGTGTGGATGAAAAGAGAAAATAGAGAAAAGGGACTAGAGAAGAGAGAAAGAGAGAGAGAGAGAGATAGATAGATAGAGAGAGATGTAAAATGTACGCTGGATCGCACCATTATCAATCCTGATGTATTGTCCTGTCAGAACAGAGTCAACGAGACTGACATGACCCAGATGAAATCGAGGACTCTCGTGGAGTACGCATATACAGCAATATTTATAGATTTGCACTCTAATATTTAGAAAACAGAAATATAAAATCCGCTTGTAATTAACTGGAAGATATATGAAGTTTTCGAATAATCCCAACTAACGGTGAAACTATGTCCAAATTACGAGCAATATCCGCTCGCAGCCGAAGAATTGTTTGTACAACAATTTTCGAAACATTTGGAACACCATCTCATAAAGTGTATACAAAACGTACACACTTATATTATTTATAAAAGGTATATATAGATATAGATAAAATATAATATATACATTTATACATAAAATAGGTCAGGCAATAATAAAAAGATTGATTTCTCACTATATGTTTCCTGAGCTATATGAGCTATATTATCCTATGTATATGTATATATATATATTTTTTTTTCAGTAAAAATATTTATGGATAAATTTATCTTAAATTCAGAATTAAGATATTTTTACAATTAATAGCATTTTCGATTGAAGAGAGCGAACTTTAGATAACAAGAGCTATTAATAGCGATGTAAATTTATCTCTGATTAATGCAAAAGCAAATAAAACATGAAATAACAATATATAAATAGATGTTTGATTTTTGTTTTTATCTTAGAATTTATCTTGAGAATAATTTGATAAATAATTATACATTTTTTATACAGGGTGTTTACGAAATATTTGGACAACTTCTAAGGCATTTTTGTTATAATAAAGAAAAAAGTAAATAGTAAAAAATGAGTGGTTGCAAATTTAATAAAACGAAGTTTATATTAATGTTATTATTAAATAATCATAAGTAAGCACTTAACTAGTAAGAAATGATCAAAATGATCATTTGATTGAAGACAGTCTGATTTGTATCTATAGGGAAATTTACTATTATTATACAGGGTCTTTTTAAATAAGTGCGAAAAACTTTAGGAAATGATTCCTTATATATTAAAAATTAAGGGAAATTTTTTATTTAAACTTATACTCCTATATCGCTCTTTGAAAAATTACACTACTTTAAAAGAGAAGACAAAAATTAAATCTTCATATTTTAAAGTCTCTAAAGAATTCAAGTTTTCTGACGCATTTTTTAAAATGATCACACTCCGATTAATTAAGAAATTTAAAAAATAAAAAAAATTGAATTGGAGTGGAGATATTAATAGATATTAATAGATATTAATAAATATCTTTTTTTTCTAATAGAAAATGCCACCAAACATTTCTTTAACTTGCCTAAAATTTGAGGAAAAAATTAAAAATCTGTGTTTATATAAAAAACTTTCCTGAATTTTCGACAAATAATTATCTCCTAAAATTTTTCGCACTTATTTAGAAATTATTATCTAATAAATTATATATAATTTTTTTATTGATAATATACGCCCTAGAAGTTTATCCAATTTACTTCGTAAATATCCTGTATATCTATGAAGAAATTAGTGTGTATAATAGATATAAATAAATAAATAAATATATTTCCGTATAATCAAACATAAGTTTATAAAAATGACACTTAATCATTCCTTTCTGTGAAGCAATCTAAAGAAAAAAGTACGTCTCGATCGAAAATGCTGACATAATAATCATCATTAACCTTGTCTCTGATCTCTTGTCGCATCTTCTCCCGTTCTTCTTCCATTTTACGATGTTTCTCCTTTCTTCGCTCCTCAGCTTCCCTAATAGCCTCCTGCCGCTCTCTCTCAGCCTCCTCTTCCTTCTCCTTGTCATCCTCGTCACCGCCTTCTCCGCCTACTGCTCCTGTAAAAATGAAAAAAAAAACATTTATTTATATATATATAAAATCTTTCTTCGAGATTTGTCCCAAATGCTATTACAATCAGCAATAAACACTGTAAAAAAATATGTAATATATTACATAAAAATATGTAAAATTACGTAAATAATTAAGTGTAATTTTACATGTTTTTATGTAATGTAAAATTACATATATAGAAATATGTAAAATTACACTTAATTATTTTACATATGTAATATTACATAAAAATATGTAAAATTACATAAATAATTAAATGTAAGTGTAATTTTACATGTTTTTATGTAATATAAAATTACATATATAGAAATATGTAAAATTACACTTAATTATTTTACATATGTAATATTACATAAAAATATGTAAAATTACATTTAATTATTTATGTAATTTTACATGTTTTTATGTAATTTTACATATTTTTCACAGTGAACAATGAAGGATTTTTTGAAACTCTCAAATTTGATTTGATGGTCTCAATTTTATTCGAAAGCCGCACCCTTATTGCGATTGATTGAAAATTTGTCACTGGGATTGAGAGGCTATCATTGATATTGACAACTTAATATTCAAAATTGATTTTTCATAGATACTCGAAAAAACTTATAATTAATTAAAAATAATTCATTAAAAATTTTTAATTATTTGACATTTATTAATTGATATCTTCAATACGGACATCGTCGGAACGAAATATACGAAACGCAGTGAAGATAACAAAGATTTCGAGAGATTAATTATTTTGTCGCATTTTGAATTTATCAGGCTAACAGAAGGAGACACATATTTTACAAAAGTGTACGTAAGTTTTGATTTTGCTTTTTGTGTGTATTAATGTTTAGAACTTAATAAAAGACCATTCAGAGTCTCGCGAAATTGGTTACGTTACATGGACGAAAGAAAGAGTAAGAGTTAGATTTAAAAAAAAAGACAGAGAAGCTGAGAATGATACTGCGGAATCTCTCCGTACTTTGAGAAAATTAATACTACTTCTCTAGCCCAGTGTTAATTCACCGTGTTCTCTTTCTCTCCCATCCTCTTTGTCTTGATGCTGACGCGTATTTGCGCTACTTTTCACGACTTGTAAAGGGTACCCTTTGAAGTCCGATCTATCTTTCTGTTCTGTTCTTTGCTCATCGTCAACTAAAATTCCGACTTTGACTTTGGTGAGAAAAATGACGGATCCGCAATATATATACCTATATTATTAGCTATAATATTCGATAGAAATTGCACAGATGGAATAATTAATTAACGACAACGCATATAATACTATAATAACGATAAATAATACATTATCGGCAATGTCGATCGAGTCATCAATTGCCAATATCAATTAATTAGTAATTATTAGATTTACAATAGAGTATATTATTATATAAATTGTTATTGTACACGTACAAATCTCACAATATACTGCATATTTATATGTTGATATTAATGAGAGTTGTAAAAGAAAGGAAATTACACATGCTTTCTTTCCTTGGAAAAAACTTTCCTCTCTTTTGAAGGCGTTGCTTTTATATAATTTGTTTTGATGTCTTTTTTATATTAAAAAAATTTATATTAAAAAATTAATAAAATATTAAAATAAAAAATAAATATTAAAATTAATAAATTATTAAAAATGAATAAATTAATAAAATATACTTGAGTAAAAAATAAATTGAAAAAAAGTAAATTATAATTAAAGCTAAAATTAAATAATGAAGGTATAATAATTAATTAGAGTACACATTTGTGTAAATTCAAAAGTTTTACAATTGCATGAGAAATATAATTTAAATATATTGAAAAATAAACTTAAAAAAATATTAATTAAAGAAATATTTGTGCTAATTTCTAATCTGAAATAAAAATTGTTATTCGGTTAGTTGGTCGACTTCAGGTTTAAAAAGGAACTGTTGTATTTACAAATCATACAGAGAGAGATCGCTCTTCGAAATTTCGAGAAGCTCAATGGAGTTTTGCATCTATGAGGAAGTTACGTTTCCGGTGAATCTAATCACATCGAAAAGTAAGTTCGGATGAAAAAGTTCTGCGTTTAGCACAGAAGCCTCGTAAACAAAGTCTCGGTTTAGCAGAGCGAGTCTCGAAAACAAAGTTTATCCGCTCAAAAGTTTTTCATAAGAGAGAATAAATTCTAAAGTCAAATGAAAATATTATCCTGAAGAAACATTATGAATTTGTAAGCATCTCTACGGTCAACTTTGCAGTCGGCAACCTTTTTGAGAACGTTACCAACTTTTAAACGCATGCTGTGTGCGCAATACAGGAAATTTCAGTGTCCTTTTTGATAAATATTTTTCTCATAGAATTAACGAGATCTCGTGAATTAAGGAGAGAACAATAGCGAGATAATAAATAAAGAGGGATGCTTTGTTTGGATATTTTTTTTAAAATCTTGCTCGGCCGGCGAAAAATACTCAGCATATTTGAAAATTGCGCGATTAGAACACGTTCCGTTTTGTCTCTGAAAAAGATTAATAACAGAATTCCTGCGGCTTTTCCTCCTCCACTCACTTCTGTGTCCGGCAAAACTGTCCACGGACAAGTTTTATTTGACAAAATGAAATTCTCCGGTGGTTATCCAGAGAATTTCATGACGTCGCTAGCCAGAGGTAATGTACAGGCCATTTTATCACAATGGACAGGAACAACATTTTTTTTTACGAATTTCAAGAGCTTTTTCTTAATGTCTCATTGTATCATTTTAATAACTCTTGGATTTTCAACATTAAACACATCTAGATTCGTTATTTACAATCCTAAACACATGTATATTTTTTCTGGCAATATCGGAAATGTGATAAAATATAGTAGTTTATCTCTCGACTACATTTCAAATATTTATTCGCTAATATGAAGAAAATTCCCATCAGTAATTTTATTTTTGCTAAAAACATTCTCAGTAATTTTGTTTTTGCTAATAAAAACGTGATTGATTTTCAAAGATGTCAAAACATATTTTACGGAGATGCATTTATGAAAAGAAAAAATGATGCGCATACGGGCATCTGTCAAGTTGAGAAAGAAATTGCAATTTAAATTGAAAGTTAATAATATTAGAATAAATGCTGCATAAATTCAAAAGGATCGTATTTTGATGAGAATCAGCTTAAACAAGCTGGTATTCGAGCTCTAAATCGTTTTGTCTACAAACTTGGTTAGACTATGTCTCGTGTACGTATCGTAAACCGTAATCCTATAAGGGTTAATGGTATGACAACATCATACACAACTATCCACGTTCACTGTGTGTGTCAGGTGGGAAAATAACAAGTGTGATGATACTTGTGTGTATCCCCGAGTCTGGCATCTCAGATGCTGCATTAAAGGACTTTAGACAACGATTATCTATACTCAAGTATTATTCGTAAGTTTATGAATAGGTATATGACAGGAAATCAAATTATGGTGTGTGTGTGTGTGTGTATGTTAAAAATAGAGGTAAAGTTTAAAATAAAACTGAAAAATGTCGCAATTTTCATATTATACAGATAGAGTAAAGAACAAAAATATGCACACATTGCATTGAAGTAAAATATTTCTACACAGTCCATTCAAAACACTGAAGCTTTTTTCACCACTGAGATCTATGCAGTAAATGCCTCTAATTTGTCAGGATTTAGCAGCTCGGTGAATGAGTTGCTCTAATTATTAAAATTTACACAACATGAAAGAAGTGATGTCCCTCCGACAATCGGTTTTTATTTTTGTTCCTAAATGTCAGACAAATTAAAAAAAAAACTTAGATATTTTACTCTAACAAAAAGGATTTATTAATATAAATCTAAATCGTAAGAAGGCGTGAAGAGCTAAAAAAAGTCTGAATAGCTTAATTGGAAGAGCAGTCGCCCGGCAAACGAAAGGTCTCGGGTTCGATTCCCGATTCAGCGACTTTCGGATCTATATTTTTCTCTCGCGTTTAATTATTTATTTCAATAAGGGGGTCAAGGGGTTTTTGGGAAGAAAATCTCAAGTAAGAGATTATTTCAATTTTCAAAAGTTAGTACACCAAGAGTAATATGTGCCTTGTGCACGATTTGTTTCTACAGCAACATCCGCGTTTAGCTCTTCACACCTTCTTACAATTTAGATTTATATTTATATTACAGAGCCTGTTATTGAATCTTAGGTTTTATTAATATTAAAAAAAAATAATAAAACTTAATTTTTACCTCCTTCTTTGGAAAAGTGTAACTCCTCAAGGAAGAATATAAGAGTATACGTTTATATAAGAAACCCTCCTTAATTTTCCATAAAGATCATCTAAAATTATTCGCATTTATTTAGGTACATCCTGTATAAATTGGAACATAATGTTTGTCATTTTCATTTAATGCACAAAGACGTAGACGTTAAATGAGAAAAACGTAGAGATGCGTACATTATCGGGAATAGTGGCGCATCCTCCTCCAAAGGAAGGTCGGAATAATCAATAATAGAAGTACGATGGGGCGATTGCTGGAAACGCGTTTCCGTGTAACGCGCGTCCGAGTGAATTTTCCAACCAATTGCTAGTAGTAAATACCATTTCCGGAACACGGAGAACTGGTCGTTGGAAACACCTGCGGCCCAGTGTCACGAACATTCGCTGCTCTGCTCGGCATCGTCATTGGTATTTAATTGAATCTGCATCTCGCAGCACAAATTGCTAACGACCTCTATTACAAATGACCGGGAAATTAAAATGTCGCTTGTTGAGCGATAAACAAATGCGCCGCGTTATGCGGGATATCCATAGGAAATCGAGCGACATAAGCGGTAAGCAGATGCGCGATTTGTTCCTGCAGATCTCCATCAGAAATACAATTTCTTATATTTTTTATATGGATTTTATTCATCAATACCAATTGCACGCTTCTCATTATATCTGTCAAATATTTTTCGTCATGTACTATGATCAATTTTAATTATTATTATTACGTACATATCTTCTTATACTTTCGAACGTACCTAATCTAATCCAAACATTATGGCG